ACTCTTTGTTTAACATAAATTGAGGTGACAAATCTTCCTGTTTTCCCTAAATAGGGATTGATTTTTTTTTTAAAAAATGAAAGACGGTTGCTACTATTGAATGCATAAGGGGATTTCCCTCCTCAAAAAGCACCCCAAAAAAGCATTCTTCAAAATTGAGGGTGCTCCAGGACAGTACCTCAAAGTAATACAATCACCTTCTCCCTCATAAACATATATATATACACACCTTCCAAATGCCATGTTATTAACAGGTCCAATTTCTATTTCAATACGCAAGTGTTTCTTTTGTTCTGCTCAGGTTTAGATTCTTCAGTTGAAAAATCTATCATCTAGCTATGAAATGAAGATTATGAAAAATGACAACACTGCTGTCTATGTAACTGGAAATTACCATTTCATCCTTTTCAATGCTGCACTAAAGATCTAATCTCAAAAAAGGGACAAATGACAATATATCAAACTTAAGCACACCATTCTTTTCTCAATTTCTTCTTCTCCAGATCCCTTGAAATCCATGTATTCCATCAAAAGGCTGTTTCCACATGATACTTAAATTAGTTTTCCCATGTTCAAGACTGTAATTCAGCGGCAATCTAGCCTACACTGTAATGAACATTGGACGTAAAAAAAAATCTTCTGTTTTCCATTCCCTATTAGTAACATTCACAGTTGAATGCAATCATACTTAGCACTCAAGAAGCTAAAAGCTATTTTAGGCTGTTTCTGCATTAGCTGGTTTTTCTCTGGGTCTGGCATAATTGAATCACTCAATTATTATGCTAAATCTAACAAGAGAATAGTAGTACAATATGGCTTTCTTCCCATTTTTTTTAAATGTGGTACTACATTTGTTGTTCTCCCATGGCAAAATTATCTTGTCCAATACGAACTGCCAGTGAGATGGTTGGTTATGCCCTGTATTTTTTTTTGCAGCGATTGCCCTCTTGCTTTTATTGGTCCACTTTATTAGTAGCGTTCTGTTACAATGCCCTTCCCCTGCCTTAAAAATGTCTCATTTAATTTTTGTCTTAAAATGTGAGTGTATAAATGGAAGGAGGATGCAATTGCACTATGTTAAACAAACAATGAAAGAGCAACAGGAGGCAGGGTTGCTCTAGCTGCAAAAGAAAAACAACTTATTAAAAGACCAGTAAAATTGAGAGCAGCAAAAGCTGCTTTATGCTACACCAACTGGCGAACTGAAGCCTTCAGTCTACTCTAATACATACTTTCTAAAGCTAGGAACTATCAATTCTGAGTAAGCCAAGGTCTCGGTCTCATTTTGCTTGGGTGGCGGGAAACAGAGCAAGTTTGTTATGGGTAATATAGTACTATATTAAGTGTCATTTGAACTACAGCTCTAATCAACTGGAATTCTAACCTTTAAAAATGTTATTCCTATTTTTTATCATTTTCAACAAAAAAAAAATCAAAATTATATATTTTAGTCACTTGAGATCCAAATTTCTAAAAGTAATAATTATCAACACACTATTTTAATCCATTGCTCTTAAGGGTGATTGGGGCCTTTTTAAAACTATGATACATGATATTTTAATTTGGTACTTTTAAGAGTGTTATGTTGACCATTTGGGGGGTGCAATTTAATTTGTTATCAACCAGTAATATATCTAATTAATTTGTATAATTGTTATTATTAAATTTAATAGACGAAGGCAAGAGACTGGCAAGGATATTGATTTATGCAGTCTAGTAGTCTCTTGTGAAAACTGGGGAAAAGGAAATGCTAACCAGTAAATGTACTGGTCTCCTAGAATTTCAGCATAGAATTTTGTTTGTTTTTTTTAAACTTTCATCTCTTTCAACATTGCAGTTTTTCTAATTACAACGGAATGGCTCCTGGGCTTTGATTTTGGATTGTATGGTTTTAATAATTGGTTTTAATGTTTAAATGTTTTTAACTATGGTTTGTAATATATATATGCTTATTTTATTTGTATGTCTGTTTATGTGACATTGAATTGTTACCTACTTGTAAGCCACTCTTGTGTCCCCTTCAGGGTGAGAAAGGTGGGGTATTTATTAAGTAAATAAATAAATAGCTCATTCAATGATGGTTAAAATATAAGATATTCTGTGTAATATTAAAGAAACAGAATCAAGGGAAAGGTTCTAGTCCTAGAATCATAGAGATGGAAGAGACCTCGTGGGCATCCAGTCCAACCCATGCTGAGAAGCAGGAATATCCCTTTCAAAGCACCCCCAACAGATGGCCATCAAGCCTGTTTAAAAGCCTCAAAACAAGTAGCCTTCAACACATGCTGGGGCAGAGAGTTCCACTGCTGAACAACTCTCCCAGTTAGGAAGTTCTTCCTAATGTTCAGGTGGAATCTCCTTTCCTGTAGTTTGAAGCCTAGTCTCCAGGACAGCAGAAAACAAGCTTTCTCCCTCCTCTTTATAACTTTCCCTCACATATTTATACATGGCCCTCACCTTGTCTCAACTCAGCCTTCTCTTCTGCAGGCTAAACATTGCCCAGTTCTTTAAGCCGCTCCTCATAGTGCTTGTTCTCCAGATCCTATTCATAAGTCCTTAACATGGACACACCTGGGATTTTGAGAGAGTGCTGTGATAGCATTTACAAAATGGCTTACAACAACAACAACAACAACAACAACAACAACAACAACAACAACAACAACATATAGGAGCTGGGGGTTTGTCCTTTCATACAATATTCACCACAGTCATGAAGCACATTTCCCAGAAACTAAATTTTATCCAAGATAAAAGTAAATTGCTCTGGGTCCTAAGCACAAGGCAGATATGTAGTCTATATTACAAAAGTCATGTTTTTCAGCTGAGCTTGTTATAGTACTGAACTGATTTCACAGAAGGCGAAGCAATGAAGCTGACAGAGAAGGGATATGGCCAAGAAACTGTGTGAAAGGCTGAGGTGGAGTTTGTGCCCCAAATTCCACCTGACACTCAAAACACAATAATAATAATAACAACAACAACAACAACAACAACAACAACAACAACAACAACAACAACAACTTTTTAAATATCCCACTACTACTTCCCCGAAGAGACTTGGGACGGCTTACAACTGGGGCCAAGCCCAACACAACAAGGTTTACAAACAAAAAACACATTTAAAAATATAGTACACATAACAATCTAATTAAAACAATTAAAAACAGAAGAACATAAAAACAACCATTAAATGAGACAAAACAAAACCTCAATAGCCAGAACAACATGTACTTTTAATTTCTTACACATTTACATTTAGAAAAAACATGCAGAATATGTGAAACAAAATAACAAGGTAATGCAGACAGCAAAGACACCCCTATCCCACAGGCAGATTTTTCTTACTGAGAGTAGTGGGCTTAAAAGTCAATAAATTATGCCCATGGCCTTTATGCTTTTTCTTGATTTGAAGGATGTTATATATGAGAAGGGTATAACCTTTGAAGCAATCCTACAAAAAAAATATAATGCTGAATACAGACTCACAAGCATTGTTACTTTTAATTTATAAAAAATCATAATTTAAAATATTCCGTGCCACACTACTGTTTCTCTATCTACAATTGGTGCTAAATTGTTTTGCTGCTTCAGATTGTTGTTTTCTGGACTGCTGACATGAATTATGATTACTGATAATCAGAGAGCAGCCAATCATCAATCCAATGATGAAACTAATAAGAGCACAAAGCTACACAGCTGATCAAGTTGAAATGAGGTCAAATCTAAGTCAATTCAGAGTGTGGACAACATTATTTGAGCAGAAATATTCTCAAAAGCAACTGTAAGAAAGCTGCAACAGCACTTAACAGGGATACTGGAAAAAGAGTGTGTGGGAAAGTGATTGCCTCTTAGAAGAAGCACAGGACCCAAAAAGCAGAAAGCTAACTCTACATTACCATAAAAAGATCTCTCTCACACACATAAGCCCAATTGAAATATGTTTAATCAATTCTGTGTTTTCAGATACTGAAAGCCCAATTATTTGTGAAAATGTTAAACAAGTTGTAATTCAAGATTTACTGGTAGAATCCAATTCTGAAATAGAATGCTTTAAGTTTTACCACTGATATTATACACTGAGACCCATAAATACCTTTAGACTTGCTTTTAATTTTTAATAGAAACATGTGAAAAGTTAAGATGGAACATTTTATGCGGAAACTTTCACAAAGTTAGTAATTATATATGTGTACATGAAATTTAAGCAATTTTTACATCTGAAGTCCATAACAACTATTTTAAGAATTGTCCCTCAACTGTTTTATAGTAACTATTTGCGCATTTCTCTGTCTCTTTGTCTGTAGCTGTATCTCATATGCAATTAAGGGTTTTCTTCTTTATAACATAAAGTGTTTTCTAGATTTAGTTACTACAAATAGGCATCTGTCAAGGATGCTAATGTGTACAATATCCCCAGACCAAGATTGCCATGCTACTATCTTTGATATTCTTTCTAAACAAATATAATATAGCTGCCAGAAAGAGAGATCTTAACAGGTCCTGATGAAACATTATTGCAAAATATTTTAAATTATCTGAGCGTCTTTGTTACCGAGGCAAAACCCCAGCTTCTTGTCTGGCACATTTTCCCCCTGCTCTTATTCTAATGATACACATTCAATTACTACCGAAAAGAAAAGAGTCAAATCAGAAACATCTGTAGTTTGCCATATAATTACTGATTCTTCCCCATGGAGACTGACCTTTGTAACACCGATACCAAGACCTGAAAGGCTAAAATGACAGAGGATATTCACAAGGTTTAAAACGTATAACATGATTACAAGGAATTAAAATAGGCACTGTTATTTTCCATCTTGGTTTATGTTAACATAGGCACAGACTTTATGATCTTGCGTTTAATCTCTGTGCTCAGTATGTAGTAGCTGAATTTACTCACTATTAGGTAGATTCACAAGCTGCTGTAATGCAATGTTTTGATTATATAATAAAGTCAAACCCTGCATTTGAGGCTATTATGCAGCCATTACTTTTACCTGTAATAGGAATCTTTTCCACCAGGCTTTCTTCCCTGCTCTCATCTTCACACCAGCTTGTGACTTCTGTATGTGAACACACAATAATGAAGCACATTTCAAAGTCACAATGATCAGACCAGTTTGTTTTCTTTTTAAGCCCTATTCCCTTTAATTTTTCATTTTTGTTATCTCTTGTTTATTGATCTAAACTGTCCATTACAGTTCTTTACAAAAGGACCCTACTGTGAACTTTAGTCAAATATGCTGCTACTCTTTCTGTGCAAAGCTGCCAAAGAAAACAGTAAACTGGCAAAATACCTTGTATAGAGACTTTTTTAGACCATGATAACTTTGCCGTCTTGGCCATTAAGCCAGAAGCAACATTTGATATACATACTACTAACTACATACAGAAAATTAAATTAAAATATAACCTCTTTTAATGATAAAAATCTAGTAAGGCAATGCTAACGGGATTGCTTATGTTTACCATGTAAAGGAGTCTGTCTCCTAATTGCTTGTCTGTTTTGGCCTTTGATGTAAGGACACACTGAGCGAGTCTCCATCTCCCGCTCCTAAATCAAATTACTTCCTTTAGCAAAACAAATTCATCTAACATATCAATTTTTTCATATAAATTTTGAAAAATTCAAGACATGTTTTTCTCAGTATGGAGCTTCTTACATCTAAGAAGGGAGAAGATCTATCTATGCTTCCTCTGCACTAACAAGCTACAAATGTGTTCTTTAATGTGTGCGGTCTTCAATGTTTCTGTAGAGAAATACATTTTACAATCTGTAGACATGCCCTCTAAAATATCTATCTATCTCGGGACAGCTCATGATCCCATTTATTTATTTCTAGCACAGAAAAATGGGAAATTAAAAAAATACTTTTAAGCCAAAGACAAAAGCATTTCAACAACATATAACCTTTCATTCTACTGCAAAGAAGCTCCACACATATAATCATAAATTTAAAAACTTGATATGTTGAGGTTAACACTATAAAATAACAGAGTTTCCATGCTTACATTGCTGTAATACATATGCACACTAAGTCATTAGACCATGGTCGAAATCTTGTATAGTTATTACTACTGCAATTATAAACCTGTCTTGGCCTAATGAAAATTCAAGATTAAAACTGTTTCTTTTAAGAACTTGGATTCCTTCCACCATTACTCCAAGCTATAGCACATATTTACCTTGCTTTTTTAGACCATTCTTCTGTGAATCACAAGAGACCTGTTCTTGAGGGCTAACTGCAATGGACCTGTTTTCATATTTTTCTGGCAAGCTCTCTTTCAATTCTGGTGTGATCTAAAGCAATAGAAATAAAATATAATTACTATAAAAACAAATGCAGCTCTTTTCCATTTGCAACCCTCATTTAACAAGTGGTGCTTTCACAAATCGTTATGTTACCACAACATTATAAAAGCAAGTATAATTAAATAACAATTCTGAGATAAGAAAAGGCATCAGTTTGAGCTGTCTCAGCTGAACAAATGCAAGAGTTTGCCTTCCCTAATTCTTCCAACATTTGAGAGCTTTAGTATAACTCAGGAATTGGAAGTTTTGTTTCTTTTGTAGTAAGTCTATACTTTTTTGTGCATTCTCTTATTTCAATACTTTTTAACATTTTACAGCTTTACTGTCCTGAAAAAGCAACATATTGTTGACCAGGTTGCTTCTTGAAGGTGGGGGTAAGAAAGATTTCCTCACTCCTCACCTAGCAATGAATCTTATCTTCTCTCCTGACAACAAACTTATTTTACAGGCAGTCACAAAGTCACAAATCCGTCCCCAGAAAAGAAAATTGATTCCAGAAAGAGTTATAATGGGTGCTTTGTCATCAATCCTTGTTTCCAGGACAACCCAAATTTTTCAAAATCCAATTGTCACAGAGACAGAAAGTGAGGTGAAATCTCCTGAACAGCAGCACAAACAGCAAAACAAAAGGATGTTGACTCTTCCTGATGCTATCCAAAACTAAAAAAAAAAGTTTTGGTTGGAGTTATACTTGAAAATGTCCCTGTTACAACTTACATACCAATTCAACTTAAGAACAAACCTACAGAACCTATCTAGTTTGTAACCCAGGGACTGACTGTACTAATCTCAAATTATAATGAAAACCCAATGAAGCAATTCCATATTTAGAGATTCTACAGTCTCCTGAGCATAGTCGTAGTACCAAGACAAAACCCCACCAGTCGAATATCTAAAATATCTTTATTTTTTTTAAGAAAATACCTAAGAGATCCAATCTTCACAAGATCATCTAAAATTTTTAAAAGGATCTTTATCTGGATGCCACTCTCCTGCCTTGCAAACAACCAAGACAAATGATACTGGAAGCAAATGCAACAACTACTGACCGAGCCATCTCCTTCATGTTTTCCTGAAATCAATAAGGTACCAAACATCTTTTTTGCTTCTTGTTCAAGTAAAACATGGTGCTTTTGCAGGAATAAGACATGCTCGCTTAAACGTTTCCATGTCATTGCGAAATAAGGTGTTAATTTAGACCTACAAAAACATGAAGAAAAATAGGATAACAAAGCAGCATATGTCAATACAGATGCAAAATGATTATGTGCTATCCAAAATCTGTACCTTAGGTTTTCTTAATTTTTTTAAAAAAAAACATTAAATTTATTAGTATTCTTACTTGCTCTAAAAGCCACCAAAAGTGAATTAGAACAATATTAATGCATGCTTATTTTAGATAAATCTTCATGTTAGGAATTTGCTAGGAACTAAATATTAGGAATCCTGTGGGGACTAAAGTACATATAGAGCAGTGGTTCTCAACCTGTGGGTCCCCAGATGTTCTGACCTTCAACTCTCAGAAATTCTAACAGCTGGTAAACTGGCTGGGATTTTAGGCCAAAATACCAGGGGGCCCACAAGTTGAGAACAACTAATACTGAGTCAAGCAAAAGACTGATTACCCTATTGCAGACATCGAGATGTTCATGGATATAAATGGAACTGAAATAGTAACAACAGAGGCAGGAGAAGAAGCCCCAAATGCAATTGTATTATATTATTTTACATGGGCCTTCTTGCCCTAAAGGCAGTGGGAGCTTTCAGGTATAACCAACAACAGGTTCAAGTCAACAACTCTGTCATGTTGATATATAGAATATCAGAGGTAGTCAAGGAAAATGTGATTTGTTCTTACAACCTTTTCTCAAGAAAACCGGTTTATACTATATGAATCTGAGCAACTACTGCCCATTACCCAGTGTCTAATCTTCACTTTCTCAAAGCTGTAGAGAAGATTGGGGGGGGGGGGGGTTAAGACGCTTGAAGGAGAAGAGTTTGTGAGGAAACTGATTTAGATTAATCTGGCATGATTTCAGGTCAATAGCACAGCATAGGACTCTGCTGCAACAGATATTGTAGATAATATACTGTATATACTCGAGTATAAGCCTAGTTTCTCAGCCCCTTTTTAGGCTGAAAAAAATCCCCTTGGCTTATACTCTATACTCGAGTCAAGGTTATTATTTTACTCTGCTATTAGTATTATTTTTATTACATTGATTATTTTACTCTATTATTATTACATTTACATTATTTTACTGCATTATTATATTTATTGTATTTATTATTTTACTCTATTATTGTTATTATTACATTTATTACTTTATTATTATTACTGTTATTATTAAATTTCCATTATTTACTCTATTATTATTTTTATTACATGTTATTATATTTATCATTTTATTCTATCATTATAGGTAATAAGTAAACACATTTATATTGAAGGATGTTAGAATAATGGTTGAATCAGAGTTGGGCAGTCTTATCTTAAATTACAGTTTGGTGTAAATATTCAAAAACATTTAACCTACTGACGATTACCAGTAGCAGCTACATTTCTCACCTCAGCTTATACTCGAGTCAATACGTTTTTCCAGTTTTTTGTGGTAAAATTAGGTCCCTTGGCTTATATTTGGGTCTGCTTATACTCGGGTATATACGGTATTCTGAATGTTTACAAGACATGCCCCCCAAATTTCCAACGCATGCAGCTTCCCTTTTGAAATTATTTGATTTCAGTCTTAGTCATACATGTGACCCATAAGAATGTTAATTATGGAAGTTGAACCAATGAGCATACCTGATTTGTTTTCCATTGAGCATCTCACTTTTGTCATTAAACGGATTCTCTGGTAAAAGGCATGCATTTGCTGTACTTTGCAATAATCTCTGCAGCTGATGAAGGACAAGTGCTTCACATAACTCAAGGTCTTCTTGTTTCAAGTTGCCAGTTTCATTACAGAGACTATAAACAAAAGCAGGCACTTAATGAAATGTTTACTTAAGCCCATTATAAGCAGCTACAATCATCCATGGAATGTACAATAAGTATCTCAATACATAGATTTAATATAAACTTTAACAGACAACTTTAGCTGAGATAAAATGCCAACCAAACAACCCTACAGAGTGATGGCGGCCTAAGGATCACGAAAAGGTGATTTGCTTGTTGACAAGTACCCTAAAAGTTGGTGCGTTCTCTTTCTGAGGCCAAGAGGACCACCACCTCTATAAATACGCAGATTGGTTGTCTTAAGTAGCATACTCCATTATGTTTTTTTTTCCAGCAAAGAATGTGATGAGACATTTTTAAAGGCTATTTCAAGGTCAGCATCATATTTATTACTTCTGCTTGAGCTGATATTCAAAAATGAAAGATTAGGGTATGACTATCAGAAAAGAGTCCTCTGTACTTCTTTTAAATGTTAAGACACATGATTTTTTCTGCTCAGAATAGGAGAAGCAGCAGCCTGCATGGACTAGATACTAGCTAATGGTATAGATGTGACCATTATAACAGTGTGGTAAATCAGAAGCTGTTGTTGTTTTTTACCCACCTCTCCTTGTGGCTCAAGGATGGTCACAGCACAGTCAAAACACATTGCAAAAAAAAATCTATAAACACACAAATTAAAATGTAGATAGATATTAAAATGTATTTATAGAAATACATATTAAAATGTATTTCTATAAAATACATGTGAAATACACAGGACAGAGATTAAAACACAAGAAGGCTTAGTTCTATACAGCCATGGGGATTTATGGCTTTGAAGTAACAGCAAATTGCTCAAGTATGGATAAATACTGAAAATCAAGCACAAATTGCACAAGGTGAACATCTATACAGAATGGTAGTCCATTGGGTCCATTAAACATCGCAAAATCTTTCTCTGGGGGAATCTAAAGTACAAAATTGTGAGTGAAAAAGAAGAGTATAGCCCTTTATCTGTTCCAAATCAGTGATCAACTGCTTGGGGAGTCCTCCAAAATATAAAAAATATTGAAAAATTCTTTAAAAATAAAATGGGAAGCAGAAGTATATTATTTATAGATTTATTGTTTGAAAAAGGCAGACAGAAGATGATTAGATATCCCTTTCTACTTGCCTCTTTGTGCCAAAATGATCCGAAAGGACATGGTTCTTCTATATTTTAATTATTAAATACACATGAATTAACCTGCATTTAAGACTTCAGTCAAGCAATTTTTGAGGAACAGAGATAGAGTTCATAAGGAAAGGAAAGGCAATCCACAGCCATCAGGAGAAATTCTTATAGATTTCAGGGAGGTCCTACGCAGACACTATAATCCAGTTTGGAATTGGATTAAAACAAACTGGTTGTGCTGCACAGCGCCTACCCAAAACCCCTGGAACTGTTTCAAGGCTGGGACGGTGGCCACAATATCTGCTGACTGTGTATTGGAACTAAAGCCAGGAATCCCAGTGTCTGTGGCTATTCAGCCACTGGAAAATGGCGGTGGGGGGGGGGGGGATCTGCTGTCTGCTGAGATGTGCTGATGTGCATATCCATGTCAATTTGGGATCCCAGTTTCAAATTCTGATTGGCTGCAGCATATTATTGTTTTATTATTATTAATTTCTAACCCGCACCTCTCTCCCCAAAGGGACTCAGGGCAACTTCCAAATTAACACAAAATTAATCACATTCAAAACGTTTTAAAAACATTTTCACATAAATTAAAAACGGGGAAATATCCAGTTTATTTCAGACTTCCTGATGGGTTCTTGTATATGCTGTTTCTGGCTTGTTCCATGCCGTAGCATGCTTTGGGAGTGTGCATTTTGTGGACACCCCACTCTTGGGATGGCTTTAAACTGCATTATCTGGGTAGTGTCTGGGTAGAACTGCCCTTTGACTAATGAAAAATAATTTACATAGTATAGACCAGGAAACTTCAGCCCTCCTGGTGATTTGGACTTAAATTCTGAACAGCTGGAAAACTAGCTCGGATTTCTGGAAGTCCAAAACACCTGGAGGGCCTAAGGTTGTCCATACCTGGTATAGATACTACTTGAATAATGCAGTTTGAAGCCCTGGCCATGGCACAAGCAACTCAATGTTCTTGTGAAGGAAGGTTAATTGAGAAAAACTTGTATTAAAGCCAGCAGATTTAACAGATGGATAATATATTAATTATGTCTTCAAAATAAATAAAATTAAGCATTAAACCTTATAAGTGTCTCCAGTTCTGCAACAGGCACAGTTTTATATTGGTATAACACCAGGCATTCAGGAGTTGTTCCTGCCACTGAGTCTTCTATGAATGTCAGGAGATGAGAAAATCCTTCAAAGGACAAACACAGTCTGAAGAAATAAACACAAATGCAATTATGATCTATAAAATGTTTCTATGAAAGTACAAATGCGGAAATGTGAAGTAGCAAAGAATCATGTTTGCATTTTCCATGTTTACTTCCTAGGTATAAAGCAAAGGGTGAAATCTATTTCTTGTACCAAAAATGTAGTGATGCCTTCCCCAATGTTTTATCATACCCATTTGGTCGAAGTCCCAGCAGATTTTATACAAAACTTCACTGTAGCCCTTTGTTCAAAAATAGCATTTTGTTAATATGTGAAATACGGCCAGAAAACTAGGAGGATAAAATTGCAAAGGAAGCACTTTTTCCAACTTAATATATAGGTTTGTGTGGCAGCATTGTTGAAAAAGATGTTATAGCACCATTGAAAAACCATGAAAGGTATCAAGCCAGTTTCTAAACAAACATATACCTACAGCAGTCTTAATTGTTTTTATCTCTGATTTTTTGCTAGGGAATCTTTTCTTTTCTTAACTAAAGCACACCCACAATAAAGAGCACCATTTTCTTCTTTCCTAAATGCAGAATATATCTTTCTGTTATATAATAAATATTACATCTGCCACACCATTTCAAGATGCTACAACTCATAGAGGTCTGTCTCTGTCTTATTGCATCCCTTCCCTCTAATATCCACCTGTGCAAAATGACATCATCATTGGCTGACCAAGCCATTCAAATCAGGCGCCAATTGCACAGAGATGAAAAACTCATAGTAAGAAGGGTTCACTATGTCAGCTGCACACCCATAGATGTCATAGGAAAGGAAGACAGGAAAAAGACAGCAAGACACAGATTTTAAGCAATAGCTCTCTGCCTGCTAGGACCTCTAGTTACTATTCCACGTTTATGTCACAAATTTACAAAAAATGTATTGGTACCAAAGGTTATTCTGGCTTGGTTGATACACATTACAAATCTTCTCCATTAGACTGTTTAAGCATGAAAGACTATGTTTCTTTTTCTTCCAGAAAACTAGGTACAGCATGCTAATTGGCAAACGGACTGAAAAGATCTCAAATACAAGCATGAACACAATAGGGAAACGAGATGCAAACTACAGATAAAACCAACTTAGAATCTAGCACTTTCTAACTAAATAAGACTCATTTTTATTTTTAAAAAAGACACTGTCCTACACCTATATGAATAGAAAACACTAGTGCCCCCCTACAGGTACAAAACATAACTTGGACCTAAGGGGGACTGTAGTAAAGTGATATCTCTATATTGATGCAAATTAAGATTTAAGCATTTTCACAATAGGGCATTGCTAATCCTTTTACAGAGGTGTAAATAGCTATTCAGATTTTTATTTCAGACTGCCTGCTTTGTTCTGGCACTGAACAGCAGAACTCTACAAAGCAAACACACAGCTGGCCTATAAACTAAACCACTGCAATGTTCAGGAGCTTTAAAAAGATTTTTAAATATCTGCAACTTTAATGTTTACTGTTGTTTTCCCAACAAAACTAAACTTTTTCATTCAAAATCCTGGACACTATGGCAATGTACTTCCACAACAGTGACTGAGAACAGTGGAAAATGAAGATGGTGACGTTTTCAAGTTTAGACTTAACACACAACAAACCAGTGAGAACACACAGGCAGCTCAACAGGGCTTTTCATTGCGCTCAAGTCTTACAAAATCTCTGTTTCAGCTAGCTCATTCCCTATTGTGCTCCTCCCTCTGGGTGGTCTTTCCAGGGTGCCACTTGAAGGGAATACATTAATAAAAAGGAGGGGAAGGAAGGGACACATAAATAAAGAAAAGCAAAATGGATGACATGATGCAGCAGGCTATGGATCAGGGGTCAGCAAACAAGGGGTCTTTCTCTTTTACAGGTTGCTTCCTGGAAACAGTCTGATTAAGCTGACAGCTTGAATTATGTGTTACATTTTGTAATGCACAATCCATCTGTGCTAAGTCCTCTTGAATACAGCTGAAGCAGCACAAGCAAAAGGTCTCTGCCTTGTTCCTTCTTAAACATGAGCTTGAAATACTCATTATCTTCCTAAGTGCTAAATCCAAGAGGCTGAACTTTTTAAGGCTGTAAGTGAAATACAGGTTAGTTATGGGAACTGGCAAAGTACAGGACAGGCCTCTAGTCCAACAATATAGACATGTAACAAATTTCAGAAGTCTGCCTTACTCTATAGCTTGTTGGTCAACTTGCATCTGATGTAGGAAGGCAGAAATTTGAAGTATCGATAGCAGTATTGATACTGCTATAGACATCTTGTAGAAAGTTGTGTACACTAATATACACTAAAAAAGAGTAATAAAATTTATACATACAAATTGTAGTAATGGCACTGTGAAAGAAGAAATGTAAATTTCAAAGATGCTTGAAGCATTAAACTATAATTCAGTACACTTTTAGGGTGCTTAAATCACATTACAGTTATTGGGATTTAAACAGTTTAAGAGCACACATGAGCAAAGCCTTAAATATTTTTGTTTGAATGGGAGGTGAAAACATATACTTTTAAAACACATACGAACATAACAACATCTATAAATTGGCTTCATTGCTGTGAATAATATGCCACTTGAACCACATCCATACACAAATTCGAATACGGAGAGTCATTTTTCCTCCAAATTCAATGTGTAGAAAGGTGTGAAATGCTAATTAAGCTGTAATACTTTGGACGATGATGGTGCATCACAAAGGTTATCCATCTGACAAATGGCATGCAAAATTATGTTAAGCTATGTGCAAAGATGACTTATATAGCGAAAGACAGGCATAATGATCTGACTCATGATTTTAAAGGAGATGTTCAGAAGAGGTTTAAAGAAGAGGATTTCCCTGATTTTTTGTGATCACACTAAAACAAATTTGGGCAATCCAACCGACCATATGCACCCAGTCCAAAAATAAAATACCCAAAGGAGGTTACAGGGAATTGCAGACAGACCAGGGCAATTATAAGTGGAAGCCGCAAAGAATGCCAATGTCTGAATGCTACAGTGGATACTGCCACAAAACCTATTCTCAAGGAGCCTTAAAAGTCTACCCTCTGCAATGTAACACTGAGCAAGATAATGAGCATTTCAAGCTCATGTTTAAGAAAGAACAAAGCAGACAGATGGCAACAGGCTGGAAAGCTGGGGTGCAAATACTTGGATAGCAACTAGAAAGTAGGAGAAACAAAAAGGGTGTCTGGCTATTAAGAACATTTATAGTTAGGCAAGGTCAGGGGGTACAAATGGGTCACTTGGGTGGTGATGTTATGCCAAAATCTTAGGGGATTAATACAACTCTTTCAGCTTTCTCTGCAAGCCTGATTGGCTTGCTATAAGGGGCAGTGGAATTCCGATTAGTTGCTCAAAACAGTGCCATATCTGCGATCGCTATAAAACTGTGACATCAAGGGAAAGGGATGCTTCTGGAAGTAAACGAGACAAGCAGACATTGCACTAAGTTATCAGTAGAAAAGTGTGCAACATCTCATAGCAATGCCAAAAAATATGATATTAATAACTTCTTTTACCTTGTTGCAGGACTAGGGGATGAACCGCCACTAGAAGTATCACGACATAACGTTTGTGAACATGGATATTTTTCTTTCTTATTATATGTTGGGCTAACTGATTTTAAAGACATATTGTAGACTACATCTTGTCCACTTTGTTGTAGTTTTTGCGGATTTGTTTCATCCTCATCCTCACTGTTACTTAGGGAAACTGTGAGATCAGTGCTTCCATTTGAACTTTCATCTTCTTCCTGGGCATTTGTATCCAGTTGTAGGCTATTTCTGAGACCTAATACAGAAATGCAATACTATTAGCTTTACATTTTTTTAAAAATTACAGAATTCTTAGTTCTATTTTTGAAAACACTAATTTATACTGCAAGGACTTTAAAATGAATCCCAAATCACTGGGTCGCTGTGAGATGTCCAAGCTCTATGGACATGTCCCAGAAGCATTCTCCTGATGTTTTGCCCACATCTATGGCTGGCATCCTCAGAGGTTGTGAGGTCAGACCTCACAACCTCTTAGGATCTCTGCTGTAAATGTGGGTGAAATTTCAGGAGAGAATGCTTCTGGAACATGGCAATAAGGCCTGGAAAACTCACAGCAACCCAGTGATTCCAGTCATGAAAGCCTTTTAAAAAAAATCCCAAATCAGCCCATCAGGTTCGCACAGATGATCATAACAGCTCATAAGAACTTTTTAAAAAACTTATTTTTATAAAATATTATCCAGAGCAATATGTTATAAAATTCACAAACACACTATAATAAATGTTTTTAAAACAGCCGAGAAGTTTAACAAGTATACTTTTAAAAGGGAAATCCTCTCAACAGTCATTCTGAAGAAGTATGTTTTAGAAATCAGTGCTATTTTAAAAAGCACTATAAAACTGCAAACCCCCAAAACAGGGTGGGAGACAGTGTATTGTTCTGTCACAGGGTCAATTTCCTCCAAGACCTAAAAATTAGTAGAACAATAAGAAACAGCAAGACTTCTATCTACTGACCTGATTTGTCTTGACTCTTCGCCACCTTGATTTTTGTCCCCGTCCCCCCAAAAAAGACAGTATATCAATATGAATAAATAAATGAGGAATATATCTGCAGTTAGACATCACTAAGAGAACTATAAAAAAGGCAGCACATCTAAATCATTATCACCAAGATACTATAAAGAGAAAAAAGCCGGTTACAACACTGATAAAATCAATGAAAATCCAATCTGAAGATTCTGTAATAAGCAGACAAATTGCAACAAGTCTGATTTCTATCCCTGAATAAAACAAAGCTCTAAGATCAGAGATGATAGAACACTAAGTCTTTGGAGAGGTCACATTATTGTGTATTCCAGTTGAATTGCTCTTTTAAAGACTCTCACGCTATGCTCTATTGCCTTCTTGTATTCCTATAAAGGTAACAACGACTACAGAGGAAGATGCCTCTATGCTAGCTGTCTCCAAACGAAGCAATAAATGACACAGTTCTCTTGTGTGTATCCATACAGTACATCAGGCAGCTAACTAAACCAAACCTAATACAACTAGAGCCTGCCACTACCAGCAGCCCAGGTGCCCTGCAAGCCAATTACATAAATCATCACTATACCTGGGATTTTTTCTCTCAAGTGTTCATTTCCAGAAACAAGTTGTTCAGAGCAATACGGCAATGAATTTGGTTGTTCAGATCTCTGTTCATTTCCAAAATGCTCATGTGTCAGTATTTCTTCCACTGGTTTGCAGAAAGTGCCACTCTTTAAATCGGTAGGTCTGTTCTCGGGACTTAATCTTTCATGTAACAGGGAATTGAGTTCAGCAGACATTTTGCTTTCCACAGAATTACTACTGCAATTATTTGTCTTGCTTTCTACAGCTGAACAGCAAATTCTTCCATCCGCATGTGATACATTGGATGTGACTGGTGTTTCCTTGCCCATCAACAGATATGTCTTTCCATCTATTTTGTCAGACTTATTTGAGCGCTGTAGATCATTATTCATTTGTACTACACAGCTGTCTGTCATATAACTATTCTGTGATGGTTGTCTATGTGAATGTGGGTCAGAAATTGAAAAGCTCTTTGTGAGCTTGGAAGATTTCTGCGGCGCACTGAAATCGTCAACGCTTGAGACAGCTGACATTTGGCGGCCCATAAAGATTGTTGCCGTGTGATACAGTCCTCTTGACATGGCTGTCCTGTTGTTAATTCCTGCCTGTCTTGCTTCTGGCATTTTCTGGAAAAAAAAACAGTGTAAAATCAACACAGTGAATTTTTGTCATTGTAGATGTGGTTTTAAAAAGATGGAGCATTGTTTGGGAAAATTACCAACCATTTTAAATATACAACTATACATGAAAGCCTTTCATGACCCAAGGCAGAAACACAGAAACAATACATCAGAAGTTTTGTTATGTAATTCCCCCTTAAAATAAATGGCAAAGTGTTACAGAATGTTCCATTTAGCTGTTCTCCATATTTTTAAAAATTAGCATACACAATTCTCTACATTGCCAAAAACCGTTCCCTTTAAACATCTCCAATTTGCATTGAAGTCATTGACATTAAGATACTTAGCATGTTGACCAACAAATTGAGAAAGATAATCACAAATTGATATGAAGTAGCTCAGCAAACAAACAAGCATGCAGCTGCGATAATACCATAGAGCAGGGATGGGAAAACTTCAGCCTTCCAGGTGTTTTGGACTTCAACTCTTACAATTCCTGTCAGCACCAAAGTTTATCCATGCTTGCCATAGAGTGTGAGAAGTAACTCTGTGTCCACCTTGTTCAGTACTATCTACTCTGACTAAAAGGAGCATTTTACTCTATTGGCAGACCTTCTCTTTCTTCCTGTGGTTTCTTAAATCAGGGATGCCAGACAGTGAAGCATGGATCACCTACAAGGAAAGCATATGTCCTGTAATTACAATAAGGTTTTCATCTTCTTCTCAACTGTGCCCCAGGTAAGTTCTTGATTATACTACATATGAGAAAATATATGACGTAAGTGACAAAATATTGCATTTATGAAGAAACTATTTGCTTAACTTTCTTTCCTATCTCTAGAGGCCTGTTTATGTCAAGCATGTAAAACATCATTAATCTCCTCAGTAGAAGTAACTACAGAACCAGAGCCCAATCTAAGCTGTGTTATGCAGCAGGCAGAGAGAACTTAAAGTAGCTTCATGAATAATTTCTGAACTCAAAATGTCCACTGCTGTCTACTTTAAGCACAGGTCAAAAAGAGAAAGAATTGGTGTAAGTATAACCAGGTAATAGGGCTTCTAAATGGAGAGGCTAAGTAGTCAAGACAAAGATTGTATACAGGAAGTCAAGTTTGTTCTTAAGTTGAATTTGTATGTAAGTTGGAACAAGTACATTTTAATGGTAACTCCAGCCAAATATCTATCTGTCCGTCTGTCTGTCTGTCTGTCGAACCTTTGGATAGCATAGGGAAGGGTTAACATCCCTGTGGTGTTTGTTTTGCTGTCTGTGCCCTGCTCAGATTTCACCTCACTATCTGTCCCTGTGATAATTGGATTTTGGACATTTTGGCTTGTTGCGGAAACAAGGATTGGTGATAAAGCTTCAGTGGAGACACCTTTTCCCCATGATAATTCTTTCAGGGGTGAATTTCCCTTTCTAAGGGTAGATTTCTCTGACTTCCTGTTGTCTTATCCCTGTTGTTAACTATGAATCACCTCTAGATCATGGCCATATAGCCCGAAAAAACCCACAAGAACTTATGAATTGTTTGTAAGTTGGATGTTTGTAACTGGGAGAAAGCCTGCATTAGTACCAAAATTCTTCTGCTTAAGCTCCATAAAACTGAATGGCTGTCTATATTATTGGACCTATCCCACTTATTTCAATATATGGAATGGGTATGGAGCTATCCAGTGGACTGAGCTTACCATGCCACTATGAATGTAGACCTATTTTCCAATACATATTTAGTGACTGATATTGAGTCATACGTTGACCTTCTCTACCTATATTCTGATGTCTTAGTAGAAGGATGACCATGAAGAATTTAATTTTACTGTGCTTCTTTGATTCCAAGGAATACTTTACTCGAAACAAATATCTCTAAAAAGCAGTTTATTTCTGGCAGGCTGTAAAACCAAAAGCTAATAATGACTCTCTGACAGGTTGTTGTTCCCCAAAATGACAAGGTGAAGAGAGAATATTATCCACTTTGGTCTGGGAATACACAACAAGATCCCAAGCTCATCATGAAGAATTTTGGGGGGGGGGGGTATGAATTGGTCCTCTATTACCTTGGCCTAAGTAAGGAGCAGGTGGATGCTTTGGAAGGGTCCACTGAGATAAACCAGGATTTCCCAGCACTATCTCAAAAGCTTCTGAAAGAAAGAAAGAAGCAGGTTCCACCTCACACCCACTAACCATCCTACCCCTGAAAGAGAGGAGAAGGGAAAAGGGCCTCAGTCCCAAACAACTCTGTCTTGCCCCCACCATTCTGATCTCAGCCTTAGTCAAGCAGTGATTTATTTTTCCTAACTGCTCTGTGTGCATTTTCTGCTTCAGATGCCTCCCCAACAGACCCACAGACTAAATGTGGACTCATGCAGACGGGTGACTAGTGCATTTCTCCTCACCCCATGATTTTGTTCTATGTCATTCCACTGGAAAAATTACACTATGAAACTGCATAGAAACAAGCGTGCATCTTACAATCAACAGCATCTTGGAATTGAAGCATTGCAGTATATGAAAATGTGCAGTATGATTCCATTCACAAGACACTAAACCATGACCCCTTCCATGAGCGTAAAGCCACAATGATTATAATAACTCAAAATATTGACTACCTCCTCCCTCAATGCATCTGTCAGCTGTTCTCTGAGTTTCTAAGATTTTCCCCCTTTTTTTGTAACTTAAGCTTTTTTTTCAAAAGATTATTAATTTTTTATGTAAAAGTATTCTGATATCACAAAAAGAATAATGGGACCAAGCCTTTGGGCAGTACAAGGAATGATCAAGGATTATGTGCAATAGATATGATATTTGGAACGGCCTGGACTACGATTGTTGGATTGCGTGATTTTAATTGTTTATATTGATAGATTTTTAATTCCAAGTTTTAATGTTCAATGACGTCATGTTTTATGATTTAATTGATAATTGTATGTTATTATCGTTATGTTAGGTTTCTGTATGTGAGACATTGAATTTTGTTGTAATTGTGTTGGGAACTGCTTTGAGTTCCCCGGTGGGGAGAGAAAAGCAGTATACAAGTGAAGTAAATAAATAATAAATAATCAGCTGGGACCCACAGGACCACATGATCATTTATTCATTTATATCTATATCTATATCTATATCTATATATAGAGAGAGAGAGTGTGTTATACTATGTGGTTCCCAACCTTTTTTTTTTATCAGGGACCACTTTGACCAAGGACAACTCTCCAACATTAGTACCAAAAGGGTTACGAATTGGTTTTTGGTCAACTTTAGATTCGGTTTGGTTATTCAGTTGGATAGACCACATCAGCTCTAGTGTCTGATACAGAACATATGCCATCCAGTAGTGGTCCACAAACCACAGATTGGGAACCACTGTACTATAGCATAATTAGCTGGGCTCCAAAGTACCAAGAACTTCCAAGAGTAAAGAAAATTTATCAACCTCCCTAAAATTGTAGTGTACCTCCCCTCCTCCAAACCTCTAAAAGTAGCAAATGCAGTTATGGGAGAATGAGACACCCCTCTCTTCCTTTTGCATATTTAGAAATATTTTCTGCTTTTGATTGTTGTTTTTGGAAACCAGCTATTATTTATAGCAGAATCTCATTGCAGTTACATGGTTCCTTACATGTCATTTAAAAAATGAATAAATCACCATGGCAACAATTCATAATATAGGGGTACAAGACAGGTGAAGAGGAACAGAAATTCTGATACTCGGGAATTTATCAAACCAGGCCACAAAGGAAATGCAGTCTTCTTTAAGAGTAAGAACTCCAAGGACAAACATTTTCACATATTTTAAAATAAATACACACACACGCACAAACAAAATAAGTTAGTATTTTTGAACTCTATATATATTGTTTCATACCTGAAATTCATACAGTCTAGAAGCCCTACTTCCATAGGTCAAGGATAGTGAAGCTCACTACTCCCTATATGATGGAGAATGGCCTAAATTCAAGGTTTCTTCACCTTTTTAATCTTTGGCAAGAGAAACCATCTATAAACTCAGATTAATGCCTACTAATGCAATGAAGAAAGAAAAATGGAAACCTTCCTACTTTTACACACATACACACAAAAATAGTGTTGCCTCTGTTTCTTTCCTGATAAGAGTCTTAAATACCAAACAGTTAAATGCATAATAACATTTACTGGCAGCAAGACAGCCTGCTTAGCTGATACATAAAGCAGGTAAAAGGAGGAAAAGTTAATTTCTTGGCTGAATGATTCCATCGGTAGCTATAGGGCAAACTAGAAAGTCTTTTAGTAAAGTAGCAGTTGATTCTTCTATCAATCTGCAGCACACATACTCTTCCAAGGAATGCATTAAATATGAAAATCATATCCTGTTATCATCTGTTTCCAGCTTTCAGCCCAGTAAGCTTTCCTTAATGAATGCTGTAGCCTAAGGGACAAGCATGCTGTTGGCTTTTCTGAATAATGGAGTGATGCTACCCATTTTGGCTTATTACAATATCGACTAGCTGAGGGGGTTTCACACATAGTCACAAGTGACTACTCTTGCCAGCATGCTCCAAGTTATTACAAGATGTTTTTAGACATTTCATCTAAAAGAGCTTTCCTGCTTTTAGGGAAGAAAAACAGCTCTGGTCTTGAACTGTATCATTTATATGGAGATAGGAGGAGGGATTAGAAAGCTGCATTACTGCAGATATATAGCAGAATATATTTGAGTATTCCTTGTCAGGCTTTGTCTGTGGCTTAGATATGCAATCTTTTTTTTCCCTTGGCTTCTTTTGGGAAAGGAAGGTCAACATGTACAAAATTATAAATGCTACATGTTCAGACTTACATTTAGAAGATTTTGCCATAGTTTTGAGTTTAAAATGAAAGACACTAGATGAATAAGGATGATTTGTTGCTTTTTCTTGATTATTCACTCTACATTGGACTGCTTTTTCAGCAATATAACCGAATGGTGGCAATAACCACAGAATAATTGTGTGTGTGTGTGTGTTTAAAGAAACTGAACATTATGAGCATGATCTGGCCAGAGCTAAATACTCCCAAGTCTCATTGATTTAAATAGGAAAGACTGAAACTTCTAGATTAATGAACTCTGAAATGTTAAGAATGATGCATCTTACATGGTTTCAAGATATTCCAACTTACCTGGTTTTTAGCATCACCACTCTCCTCACTTTTTAATATATGTTTTGTGTTAAGTCTCCATCTACTTTTAATTTCTCTTTCATATTCTGCCTAGTATAAAGACAGATATTATAAATCCGGATTAAGCATTTTTTTAATCAAGACAGGTTGTGATAAATCCAAAGTATAGTTTCACTAATTTCACTGGGAAGATAGTTAAACATATGGTTAAAGTCTCCCACTGAAACTAATGGAAATTTCAAATGCTCTCTCTGAGTGGATTGGAGGCACACAGTAATAAATGCATTATATACAGCCAGTCCCTGATTTACGAACATTTGATTTATGAATGGACCTCCCCTCTCCCTCCCTGCCATGAAATCTTAGTACTGAACCAAAGTGTGTTTATATCTCTCAACCTCCTTCTTCCTGTCGACATCTCTCCAAACCCATTTCCCTGTTCTTCCTCCTGATGTCTCCAAACCACCTTTTCCTTTTTTCCCCAAGGATCTCCCCAACCCCAATTCCCCTGTTCTTCCTATCGACCTCTCCTTCATCCTCCCTATATCTCTCCAACTCTTATCTCCTCTCCTTCATGTCTAACACCAATTTTAATTGCCCTGGCTCAATACAATGCAATGCTGGGATTTGTAGCTTGGTGAGATAGCCACTTTCTTTGAAAAAGATGGTTAAAGACCTTGTAAAACTACAGCTCCCAGAATCCCATAGCAATGAAACAAGGCAGTTAAAGTAGTATCAAACTGCATTCATTTAACAGCATAAGTACAACTGAATGTTTGCCTTGCATGTTGTCAACCACCCTGAGTTCTTGTTGGGAGATAGGGCGGTATACAAATAAAGGGTGTGTGTATGTGTGTGTGTGTGTATAATACTATACACCTCAAGGAAGCTGGGGCAGAATAAACAGAAGAGGCTCCTGGAAGGAAGGGTTATCGATTTCTACCCCCCGCCCCCCAATCCCATTGCTTGGAAGCTTTGGTGTTTTTTTAAAAAGGGACTCTAATTCCATAGAAACTATAATATGAACCTTTTCCGGCCAAATTACAAAGAGTGCACATTTTGCTGGACCTGTTCCAACTTACAAATTCAACTTAAGAACGAACCTACAGATCCTATCTTGTTTGTAAATTGGGGACTGTCTGTATTTTAATGTAAATATTAAATTGCATGGATATTCTGGACAAATTAATGACTTTCATTTCTGGGGTATATCATGAATGCTTGAAGTTTAAAATATTTCCTATGCACTGTGTTATTTTTTTATCAATGTGATTGCATTAACACATATAACACTATTGGTTCCTTCTTCCTTCCATACAGGACACCATATACCAATTTATATTTTGCTGTAGCAAATGCTATCTTAGACTGCATTAATAGTAATATAGTTTCCAAGTTAAGGGAAGTAACAGTCCTGGGTAGCAATATCGGGATGACCAACTGTACAGTTCCCAAACTAATTAAACCAGGGTGAGGAATCAATAACATCTGGAGTTCCACAGCCATCCACCGTTGTGCTAACAAATATGGAATGGAAACCAAGAAAGACATGGGCAGAGAAACCTCAAAAGTAGCACAGTAATCAATGTTTTTTCATTCAACAACAAAAGGTCATTGAAGAATACTTCAATAGCTGATAAAATTAAGCCATGTGGTACACAAATAAATATCTATGAAATATGTATTTTGTCTATATTTCAGGGGGTGTATTTATTGCAGGGCCAACCCATTTTGTAACTAGCAAATAGGAACCCAGAGAACCATAATATTATAGGAAGAATAGCCAGAGTCCTCTGTGCCTTCGATCCTTTCCAAATTTCCAAAGCTAAAAGAGAACGTAGGTTCCTCAAATTAGAGACAGTCTCCTGTATCCACAAATAATGTATACATGGATTCAACCATTGGCAACTTAAAAATAATCCAAAGAAAATTCCAGAAAGCAAACCTTAATTTTGCCATTTTATATAAGGGCAAACTCTTTACTATGGCTTTGTATATAATAGGACTTCAGCATCCATGGACTCTGACATCCAGAGGGATCTTGGAACCAAACCCAAGTGGATACCAGGGTTCTGCTTATACATATGGGGTACAGGAAAAGAATTATTCTAAAACAGATTTCAGGACTGATTGATACCAGATTCACGGGTGTGCTAAGTCCAGTTCCATCAAAATTCTTGTCCAACTTAAAAGTACAGAATACAATACCTTTAGCTTCTGAAGGGATTCTGAACTTGAAGCAAACTTCTTAATATGAGCTTCAATGGAATCAAATTCTTTCAACAAATCCTGGTTACGAAGCAATGATTTCTTTTGACGTTCACATATTTCTTTCAGGTATTTTTTTAGCTGCATGTATTTCAAATTAGTCCTATAAAAAGGGGTAAGAGCAAAAACATTACTACAACTAATATAAAAGATAAAGGTAATGCCATGCTATGTATACCTGATTACTTTTTTGAAGACAAATATTCCTTGTACAAAGGATTCTCATGGAGATCTTGCCTTTAAAAATGTACAAAGTAAAAAATTGCAACAGTAGTGGTTTCTTTTCCATGCTAAATCTGCACAGAGATTTCTTCAATGAAATATTCAATGGAGCAATCAAGAAAACAGTTCTACATGTCTATTCCCTTAAGATTTATTTCATCTATCTATTTTGAGTTGTACAAGTTATCGTTCTTAAGACATTGAAGAAGCATACAGTTTCCACTCCTCCAAATGGAAGTGATCTCCATATAGGCTGCATCCATTCACATATCTTGGCTTCTTAAACTGTGATGTGCTTCAACAGCTTACCACTATATGCAGAATATCTGCTCTCCCTTTATGTGCATGGTTATTTGGATAACCACAATTCAACATTATATCCAAACACATAACTATGGTAAATGTAGGTTTAAACATGAAACTGGCTTTGATCATGTTTTGTTTAGAGGCAACCAGCTGCAGGTCTCAGTTTGGATATAATGTAAGATAGTAGAAAAACTCAATTACATAGTTTCTTAAAAGGCTAGCTGACCACTTGACTTAAAAAAATCCCAATGAACTTTTAAATAAAACAAAACTACTCTCACCAAAATCAGTAAGTATTACATATGCCCAGGATTTTCTATGGGTTCGGGAGCAGGGGGGAGGACACAACTGCATAGATCAGTGGTTCTCATCCTATGGTTCCCCAAGTGTTTTTGTTTACGACTCCCAGAAATCCCAGCCAGTTTACCAGCTGTTAGAATTTCTGGGAGCTGAAGGCCAAAACATCTGGGGACTCACAGATTGAGAACCACTGGCATAGAGGCGATGGAATCTTCTCCCTGCAAGTTATACTCCAAATTGTTTTGGTTTTAGGCACATAACAGTTCCGCAAAATTTACTCCCCATTTTCACCCAAAATTTGCATCCAAAGCTCTCAAAGATGCTTCCATACATCATGGCATAGGCTTAACTGCGTTAGTCTATTGCACCAAAGAATATCAACATCTAAAATTGACTTTAATTTTTATCTTACTTTCTATTTTAAGATGCATTTAAAAGTATAAAGGCTTATCGTGACAGAATATATAACACATACATCACAATTTCATTTCTAAAATACCACAAGACACTATAATTTATTTGTACCATGTGAGGTTTGTTCTAGTGTTATACTTGGTCAGCAGAGGAGGCCTTGTTCGCGGTCTCACCCCTGTCTCAAGCGTGGCTGGTGGGAACGAGAAAAGGGGCCTTCTCTGTGATCGCCCCCCACATCTGGAACTCCCTCCCCAAAGAAATAAAAATACCCCCCTCTCTCCTCTTCTTTACAAAACTCTTGAAAACTCATATATGCACTTTAGCTTATGGGAAGGAGGAGGACTAGAACACCTTAAAATAAAACCTTACCAGGATGCTGGCAACCCATCCTAGCCCTGGAGGCTACTACACATTATTTTATAATTTTTATGCATTTTAGTTGTTTAGATTTTATTATGGTGTAAATGTGTGGGATTAGATTTATTATGTTTTATTTGATTCCTTATTTTTACTTATTTTTGCCTAGTTATTATAAATTTTTACTGAAGTTGTTTTATGTGTTGTCTCGATTTGGTTTGTTTGTTTCATTATTATGCCATTGAATGTTTGCCACTTTTGTTTGCCACTGAGTCCCCTAGGGGAGATAGGGCAGGTTATAAATAAAGCTTTTTTATTACTATTTATGTGTGTGTGTGTGTGTTTGTGTGTATGCAAGCTCTGGATTCAAAGGGAAGGATTTAGTGTTTGTTTTTCTGTCTTTGTCCCTGTTCAAAAGATTTTACCATAGTTTCTGTCCCTGTGAAAATTGGATTTTGAAAAATTTGGCTCATTGCAGAAATAAGGATTGGTGATAAAGTTTTAGTGGAGACATCTTTTCCCCATGATAACTCTTTAAGGAATTTCCCTTCCCAGGGGTAGATTTCTCTCACTTCCTGTTGTTTCAGCCCCATTCTTAACTATGAGTCGTTTGTAAGTCAGATGCTCATAACTCAGGGACTGCCTGTATTTGAATACTTCTAAAAAAATCCTGATATAAAACTGTACCAAAACAACATTTCAAAGTTGCATTATGCAACATAATAACTCTAAGGTTAACAACTACTTCTGGTTATTTATACATTTAGCTTAGTGCGTCAATAGTTAAGAATAACAAGCACATCATGCTTTATGAGACTTACATGCAAGTATCAGGTTTTCTGTATTCAAGCATTTCTCTTTCCAGCTCCATCCTCTTTGTTTCACTGAAAGAATAAAATGATGGAAGCATTATATAAATTGTATATTTTACATTGCAGTGAACAAAAGATAGCTTTTATACTTTTCCCCAAAATGAACTGCTCATTCATTTATTGCCCTGGAGTCACCAATAGCTAATTACATTGTTAATCAAAATGTTTTACCCTTCTATTCAAGATAAAGCAAGACTGTTATCCAAGATAGTAAAGTAGTTCTAAAGGGAACCACACATTTCTTCTGATGACAAATACTTGGTGACTACATATGAAGCATCACTTATAAGTTATTTGTAGCCTCTCACCACATGGTGGCAGGAACACAATCCAGTATTGATTAGAAAAACCGGGAAGAAGACACATTGTGCAGATTTTGTGCTAATCCCTGGGCTCTATAGCCAACATGCTTTACAATTGGTTATATATGCACCATACTTTGGATCATAGGGCAAAGGGGTGCTGGTAACTGCTCGATGTATTTATATATTATGAACATTTCTTGTACAATTTCTTCCCAGTTTATTGAATAATACTACAGGGTTTCCCACATCAGAATATATATCAGTGCTATGAACACAATAGTGTATTGCTAAAAGCTATCTCCTATGATTAAAATATAATTGGATGAAAGTATGACACTTGACAAGCTATGCATGCCACAGTGGTTGCAAAAGTGGATTGCAGTCCAGTGCATCTAGAGAGAAGGTTAACCTAGAGAGACCGCTACAGTCTAGATCAGGTATGAGCAAAGATTTCCTTCTCAGTGGGGAAAGGGAAATGGCCTGAGGCTGTTAGGAATTGTGGGAGCTGAAGCCCAAAACACCTGGAGGGATGAAGTTTGCCCATGCCTGATCTAGACTGTAGTAGCCTTTCTAGGTTTGTGGTCCACAACTGCCCGTGTATTCAAATCTTTTTAAATTTTTAAGCAATTGAAAAGCTGTGCAGATTCAAGCGGCAGTGCTATATTCTGAAGGCATTGCTATAAAGCTATATTTTTCAATGGAACTGAAATGAAGCCAAAGTTGACATCAACCAGGCCTACAAGGAAAAACCATGCCTCAGTCAGAATACATCAACCTTCATGCAAACATATAATATAGCAAAATATTTTCTTCAAGAAATATGTCCTATTTTCAGGAGCACTTTCGCTGTAGTTCTTGTAGTCTCTTCCAATTCTGTGATCCCAAGCTGGGACTGTGGCTTGGGGTCCCAAGCCATTTAAGACTTCAGATGTCTTCTTCAGCATTTTGATATTTTGGCAGCTACTGGAATAACTATAAAACCAATGTTATATGGATTCTAATTATTTCTTTTACTGGCGCATTTTGCAGTAGCTGCAGCTTCTGAGTCATCTTCAAGGGCAACCCTACATCAAGAATATTATAATAGTCTAACTGAAGTTATCAGTGCAGGAATTACTGTTAATCAGGTACAAGAAATGCCAGAGCTGGAACCATGCAGTAGATATCACTAAATACACTTAGGATTCCAATGATAGATATAGAGTATTTCTAATCTTTGCATCCACTCCCTTTTAAAAATATTCCTGGACCTAAGAACCATCAACCCAGCCAGCCACCCCATTGATTGAAAAACAGCTTCCGATTACTAGAATTCATCCAGCCCACTAAAGCATCCAGATATTCATTCAGTACCTGAACAGCATTTGATGACCCCAATAATGAAAAGAAGTAAAGCAAAATGTCAGAATACATATGGCATACCACCTAATGATCTTACCTAGCAACTTCAAAAATGTTTATCAGAATGGGCAGAAAGATACAGCCCTGTTGCAGCTTAATAGCCTTGGATAGTTCTCAATATAGGGTAATTTTGTCAGGAACTAACTTTATAGATAGGAGCAAAACCAGGCTACAATACTGCCTCTCATGGAGTTGGCAACTGTCACCATTTCATCAGCTGACCCATGATTGTGGAATGATCTCCCAGAAGAGATCTGACAGTCAAATGAGCTGTCAGAATTTTAAACAAAACTGACCCTTATGCAAAGACATAACAAAAGGAATTGTGGGGGATTCCTCTTGGTGCAATCTTAGATAGAGGGAGGTGCTGGAGAACAGCAGCACTATGGACTTAGGAATCTTCTGCATTCATACTGAGGCTGTCCTGACTCAGCCAGCTGAAGGACTTCATAGCTTCCTTGATAACCATGGAGCCATCTCAGTATATCAATAGCCTGAAACATGTGGCCAGACACACTCTGAATCTGCGCTTTGCTAATAGGCCACAGACCAGCAATCAATGGCTCATAAACCAGCATAGGTTCATAGACTACTACTTTGACCATCATTGTCTGGGGAGATTTTATGACTGACAAGCTGGCAATTCAGTCACACCTTTGTCTCCCTGTGGAATACTGCCAAGCATCCACTCTGATATTTTGGATCTCATCATTGTGCAAGATTTATAGATGCTTCACAGACAAAGAAACAATCTGTATGGTAGACCCTAACAAGGCACAAAAGCAGTTGTGGGAGTCTCATAAAGGTTTAGACTACACTCTGTTCACCTCTGTTCTAAAACAATACTTTCATTGCTGCTGGAGGAATGCTTCTGTTCATTACAGCTGGTCTAGGAACATGTACATTTCAATCAATTAAGAGAACAAAATGCTAAGAACTTTTGTTCAGATAGAGATAAGGAAAAGGTTAAGAAGCTGAGTATGCTTAGCTTGGAGGCGGGGAAAAGACTAAGTGGTGATACAATAATCATATTTAAATACCTGAAGCAATGTTTTCTGTTATTACAGAAAGTAGGACATTGACCTATTCATTCAAATCACAAGAAAAAAGATTCCTGCTCAATATGGGAAAGCACTTCTTTACTTTTAAGTGCTGTTCAATAGTAAAATGGGGAGAGGTCACATTTGGAGGTTTTTAAACAGAGGATGGATGGTCAACTTTCAGGAGAGCTTTCATTCAGTGAATATATGACTTTTACAAACATTTTGAATTTAAGAGCTATATTTTTTTTTCAAAATCTAAATGTGTCGTGTTCATAATTATGTAAATCCCCAAGGTGGCATGAAGTGTAATACGTGCAGAATAAAAATTGAGTTGACAAATAATTTCAATCTCAGTCAGGCCCGTAACCAGGATTTTGATTCGGGGGGAGGGGGCTGAGTCTGAGAGAAAGAGGGTCTACCCTAGCAAACCTTTTGTATAGTTACCCCAATACCCCCATGCATATAGAATATATTGAGCATGGTGATCAGATCATAAGATGAATAAACATAACAGTTGAAATAATGTACCAGTAAGGCCTTCTCCCAGACCACCATGAGAATTTTGGGGGGGGGGGCTGAAGCCCCTCAAGCCCCCTGAAATTCCCATGGTGGTCTGCGAGAACCATGAGATCAGGCTACACGCCTGATCTCAGTCAACCACAACAATTTGAGTCCAAATTCTGAGTCCTGGATAAAAATCTGAGTCTTCCAAAGTTCTCAGATGGTTCAAAAAGGATGTCAAATGTAGACAGTTTTATGAAACAAATAATTAGATTACTGAACTCTCTATATACATATGGATCTGACTATATGGGACTGAATTCCAGAAATATTCATGCACCTTTAAGTAACTAAAGTTGCCCAATGTCATGCTTAAAAACACACTTTGAGAAGGCTTTATTATAAATAAGCTGTCTTATATATAAATAACCTGTTAATGAGTATTTACACAAGCTTTCACTCTACTTAGAAATATTAACGTTTGAATTAAATAAGTCTCATTTAAATATTTTCCCAATTATTTTATTATGTGATAATATTGTAGCCCTATTACCTGCTGCTACACATGCATAGAATCACACCAATTTTACACCATACCAAAATCAGCCTGTCAATCATGAACAGAAGAATACAGAGACGGATAATTTTTAACCTGCTTGTTGATCTCTCCTGTTTCAAGTGTAAAACTCCCATCTTTCACTAACAGGCAAGAAATTACATTATTACATTGCTCAATGAAAGCATTTTAATTTTCCTTATGAGTAGCCTACCTGTTTTATCTCCTCCATTCATAGTGCCTGTTTGACCCTGTTAAGAATACATTCAGTCAGAGTTGATATGCATTTGCTGTACTCCTATGTGCAGCAATGACAGAATGAAGTGATTCTTCCATGCTTCTTTTCTAATTAACTTTTTAAAATACTCTCATATGGAATGTGTCTCAGAAGATTTTTCATCCAGTAACATATATTTTTATTATAAAAGGCATTTTACCTCACTCTTCAAGCAAAAAAAAAAAAAAGGTTCCCAAGTGGCTTAAAAAAAATATAAAGTAAGACACCCATGGCTTATACACTTATATTCTAAATCAAGGATGGGCAAAGTGCTGGCCCCAAGGGTAATTTTTCCTGCCTTCAACCACTCCAGACTCCCTAGCTACCCCCTTATTGGTCAAAAACAACTGGACTAGCAATTCACCCTTTCAATATGTTCCAAACATACCTACAGTGCTTAAAATATACTGCAGGTGTGTTTGAAAAAGTACTTCAAAAGTACAAGGGGACTTCACCCCACTTCTGATTTTTGTAAGTGTTGTTCTTAAGCAATCTATGCAGCCTCTGGAGGGCACATGGGACAATAAATTGGCCCACCAATCTGCCACAGTTACGTGCCCTTGATGTAAATCAGAGTTTCTTGGATCCCTAGATCTCCATCCCAAGAAAGGGGATTACTTACTCCCAGCCATAAAGAGACTTATTATTATTATTATTATTATTATTATTATTATTATTATTATTTATGTTTATTTATATTCCACCTTTTCTCTCCATACAGAGACTCAAAGCGGCTCAGAACTAAAGCATTGAAATACAGCTTAAAATATACAAATATACAAGTATTAAAACAGTACTGAGCATCATTGAAAGCATATAAAATCACAGCAGACCCTGACAATCTTAAAAACCTTCTTCTTTAGAAGCCTGCCTGAATAAAGAGGTTTTAACCTGCTACCTGAAGGATAGCAGGGAGGGAGCCATTTTGG